TGTGTGGCTGTTGTGGTTTTTCTAGGCCAATTTACGTTCAGTAGGTTGCCATTGCTTTCTGGTATCGGCTGTCGAAATCACTGTCGTAACCAACGCTAGGCTATCTGCTGCCAAATTGCCTGCAAGTATGATGGAACCCGGCACTCCAGCATTACGATGTAGGTTCGCAACGCATATGTAAATATAAATGAGATGCAAAATGGCAAGTGCACAAAGGTTTTGCAGGTGTATTAAGATGGAAGGAACGTTGTACACAAGTCGTGGAACATGATAATACATTACTTACTAGCTCACTGAACGTAGCCACCCGTCTCGCCTCATCTTCTTTTTTCTCATCTCTGAAACAAACAAAGTCAATATGTAAGCCAGAAGTTCTGGAAAGTAAAGGCGGCCGGTCTGGTGTTGACCACGTAATAAAATGTGCCTCGGTTTGAATAATGAGAAGACAGAAGTAATGATAAAATGTATAATAAAAGTCAAAGGCGTTTTTTTAGGGCAAGTACAGAAATGTAAGTATCTAGGCAAATAGATAACATCCGATGGAAGATGTATCACAGATACAGAACAGAATAGGACATTCCAAAAGTGCTTTTTATACAATAAAGAACATTTTGTGGAATAAATCCATGTTATTGGGGGTTAGGAAAAGAATTATCGCCAACTACATTGAGCCAGTTTTAACATACGTATGTGAATCCTATATAATCAATAAACCAGCCGAACACTATCTTGAGCCCTCAGAGATGTGGTTTTACAGAAGAATCCTTAGAATTCCTTGGACAGATAAGAAGAGCAAAACCAGATGTTTTGAAAGAGGCGAGGGCTCGGAGACAACTTATCACAAACATCAGAAAGAGACAGTCATCATTTTAGATCATGTTTTGAGAAGAGGGAAAATGAAATATGTTGTGACCACTGGAAAGATCTGTGGAAAGAGAGACAGAGGAAGGCAGTTCGAGAAGGTTCTTGACTGCTTTTTGTCACGGCATGGAGGGATGTCTGGAGTCGCCGTGGTGTGGCGGCTAGACACCCGCCTGAGGATCGAAAGATCGTGGGTTCGGCCCCTGATGGGGCAAGACTTTTTTTTTCTTCAAAAATGACCTTGACTCCAAGGTCGACCCATCCGTAAGTGGGTACTAGGACCAGTCCTGGAAAGTAAATGCGGCCGGTATGATGCTGACCACATCACTCACCAAATTTAAAATATAGGTCATCCCTATACGCCAAATACGCCTAAAAGCTTGGAAAAAAAGGTGATTCACTTAACTTATGTAAAAAGTGTCAACACACGAATTGATACACTCAGTTGCGGATCGCAGAGGGCGGAGAGGCATGATCGCCCACGCCAGTCGGCAACACACGAAGTACCAAGTGGTACACAAAGATCACTAAATGTCGATGCTATCGATCGATCGCTTTGTACCTTCAACACTGTTACCTTCCGGTCGACCATATCATCATGACAAGATAAAGAAATCTGAGTCTGAGGCGGAAGACTAACAAGGCAGATCCAATATACCCCGTTGGTACAACTCCCGTTTGCAGGCCCACGCTTCGCCCATCTACACACTTATGAATGACTAGGTTCAGCATGGACTCTATGGCCTGTTCCAACCACAATGAAGACAAAACTGTATGGTACACAAGAGGATATGGATTGCACGATAGCTTTCATAAAGGCTACCGGCCTCCTGATATAAGTTTTCTGACAGAAGGATCGAAGAAGAAGAAGAAGAAGAAGACTGGACGTTCAGTCTCCGCCTTAAACTCTGAGACGCGCAAGGGTAAGTGGTAGGGGTCTCAGCTCGGTCGACAATCCTACGGACAACGACGCGTGCCATATATTATAGCACGTGAGTGCCTTTAAAGACCGCATAACATGTACAACTGGTCCTAACCTATCTCTTTTGGTCTGCCTCTACTTCTTTTTTCACTGATCTTTCCAGTTGTAACGATGTTTTCCAATGCACATAGGGTTGGGTCTTTTTATTAGAGACCAATCGGCACTTGGTGGGTAAGGTGTTTGACATCACACCGGCCGCCTTTACTTCCCATGATTTTACCCAGTACCCATTAAGGATGCCCATTGATGACGATGGCCAAGAATGTGATGATGAAATGAAGACGACGACGACGAAATAAATAAATAAAGACAGAAAGACAGACAGACAGACAGACTGGAGTGAGGCAGACTGACAGAAATCCAGACAGAAAACAAATTGAACAGATTAAAAGATGGACATGCTGAAAGAATGATAGAATGAAAGACAGACAGGTTGAAAGACAGATAAACAGAAAGTGTTTTCACCTCATTAATAACAACTTACTTCGACCCTCCATCTACAACTTCTTGAGTATCGTATTTTCCAGCGTCCTTCTCATTGCCTTTCTTCGACTTCTGCCAATTGGAGGACTTCATCGACAAAGTCCTGACACCCAAGGCAACTTCCGCACCTTCTTTCGAATAAACCACTTTGTCCAATGAGTAAGATTCAGACATTGCTAACTTGTTCGATCCTACCAGTTTGATATTTTAACTTTGCCTACCGTCGGCGTAATTCCAGGGTGAAGGGTCAGCTGCAGGCGATTTTACAGCAAACCGCCTTGCTTTGGCTTCGACAGTGGTACTGAGAGCCAGTCGTGCAGGAGGCTTTAGCGAACTACTGAACGTAGAACTGCCTCGTGAAATCACAAACAGGCAAACAATTGCTGCGGTTGGTTCTGCAACGTCCAAAACAGGATACGCAACTATTGTGCGTTCCAAAAGTTATACCCTCAAACTTTAAAAAATTTCTCGAAAACTCGTATACAGATCAACCTGAATTTTTAAATATGACCTTAGATTTCCCATTTCCTTATGACACAATTCAAAATTGCACAGGTGCTCGTTTTTCTTAAAGCGGCGAATTTCTTTGATGTTTGTATGAATAATAAATCTGTACCCTTAAAAAATATAATATACAGTAACTGCCACATGCAATGTAGAGGAAACGCTTGGCAGAATGTTAAGCTTCGAAGTTATTTTTTCTTCCTACAGCGCTTTGCTAATGGAGTTTCCAAATAAGGACGGTAATCTGCGGTTTTGCTGCCAGAGCTGTTGAGTTTAGTGTTTCGTACAGTCCTGTGAGCTATGGTTTTTCTGTGGAATCCCTTTCATTCGTATAGCGGTTGTGTGGTGGTATTCATGGCCAGTAGCTGGTTTACGTGTGAGCTAGTGAAATACCTGATGTAATAATTCTACCTGTGTATGGTAACTAACTTATCGTGCCCGACTACTTCCTTCAACGACAAACTGCATTTCTGGCGCCGACTGATGGCTTTAGAGCCTCTAGTAACTGAAATACGCATTTACCGTGTGCGCATGTTTCTGCGTTTTTCCTGGACTAGTTGTTTGTTCACCAGTTTGAGGAAAATCAAATGAAATGTCCCTCATTTGATTTTCACTGGCACACGAACGGGGCAAGTACGGGAAAACCCGATTGTAGTGAAGTTAAAACCAAGACTAGGACTCCTACACAGACGTAGAGATTGTTTGAAAGTCACTTCACACGTTCAGCGATGCGTGGGGATTATTTTGATAGCCTATTCCGCATACATAAAAAATCCACATCTCCAGGAAGACAAATGCTGAAGATGAAACGCAAATGAAACGTGTGCGGTTTGCTGTTTTGAAGCTCCTGTTTCTGTGTTTGCTTTAAATCGGCGTCTGTTTTTTTTTTTTTTTTTTTCCTACGCAATCTTTCTTTGACAGTTGAGACGAGAAAGAGAATTCTTAAAAATTATACAAATCCTATACTGATATGCGGATGTGAATCGAGGACAGTTAGTAAATAAGTGAAAAATTATCTGGAAGTTGCAGAGCTGTGGATTTGTAGACGAATGATGGGAATGCCCTGGAAAGATAAAAACAATAATGAGGATGTCTTTGAAGAAACTAACTCGCGAAGACAGCTGATTGCCCACATCAAAAAGAGATAAACTACATTCTTTGGTCATGTGATGAAAAGGAGAAAACTGGCGTACATCAGGACAGTAGGAAAGTTAAAGGGGAGGAGAGGCAGAGGAAGACCGAGAGAACAGATGCTGGGCAGTTTGATATCATGGTATGGAAGATCACCTGTGTCATAGTTGATTGAAAGTACACGAAACAGAAGGTTGTAGACAGACATGACTACCAACGCCACACGGCATGGACTATGGAAGGTCATCTGTGTCAGACTTGACTGAAAGTACACGAGACAGAAGATTGTGGACAGACACGACTACCAACGCCACACGGCATGGACTATGGAAGATCATCTGTGTCAGAGTTGATTTAAAGTACACGAGACAGAACGTTGTGGATAGACATGACTACCAACGCCACACGGCATGGACTTTCAGAAAAAGATCTTAAATAAGGCAAATTGAAAACCAGATGTCTGTTTACATTTTATTTTAAATTCTTACAAGCACATTATTATTAACATGTGACATACTAAACTTCAACAATCTGCACACGCGGTTTTTAGTTACAGATTTTTAACCAGAAAATTATATTCATCATAGTGTTGCAGGTCCTTAGCAGAACGTCGCTCTCATCATGGTGTGCCTGAAAGAAACTCGGTCTCTCGCCAGCTCAACCACCTCATGCACTTTCCTACCCAAGGTGTCACTTATATCCTGTGCCTATGTTTGTACTATCGGCTCTGTGGCTAAGTCAATGCGAACGATTCGTAATGCCGGGATGCCGGGTTCGACCCCAGCTGCGGGCCGTGCTCCTGCGTTGGTTTCGACAGTGGTATCAAGAAATCCGACCGTCGAGTAAGCAATGGCAAAATACTGGACGTAAATTTGCTTAGAAAAAACACACAACAGCCAGGGGCTGTTGGGGTTGGTTCTGCAACGTCCTGTAAAGGATACGCAACTAACCTATGTTTGTACTGGTCTGCATATGCTCCTCTTTTCTGAAACCATACTTTTTTTATTTTTTCCAGTCCATTGTGGCGCCTGATATGGGCAGAATATTTCAGCTTTCAATATAAGATACTGATTTTAGACAATCTTTCCTGATGTTCAGATCTTTAATAATGTCAGTATTTCTTTTCTACAAACGGGCAAACGCATGATGAAGAGCATGTTCTTCTTTTCCTGCATAATTGTAATCAAGGAAGTTGCATTTCGAATTATTTACACTTCACTCAATCGGAGATTTTGAGATTTGTGGAATCCACCGCCATAAACCGGTTTGGTCTAAAATTACGCAAACAAAAGGACAGTCTTCATTGTGCGTTTACCCTGTCTGTTTTTGATTGTAGTAAACTTTGTGTTTCAATTCAAATAATTTGTTTGTTTGTTTTATTTTAATCAATTGTTACTGAAGTAGGCACCCGAAGAGATACAGCGAAATATGCCAGGCAATAAATTGCGCAATCTACTGTTTGTGTTTTTCTTTGTTCACATTTTATCAATGTTATCTATCTGATGCAGACTATCTGACTATTTAAATCGGAAACTAGGCCATTTAAAAAAAAAATATGATAAGCCAGAAGAGAACTAGGGGTCGCGAACGTTCGTCTTTGTTATCTTGTAGCTGTGTGTTAGTTTTGGTAAAATTATAACAATAATGCAGTAATGCTAACATTGCATGTTAACGGCTTTATTACAACGATTACTATACTGGTTTTTACAGCAAAGGAAATTTCTTTACTGAGCGTAAAAATACCCCGTGTGACCTCAAGGGCCCAATATTTGTTTGTGTGTGTGTGTGTGGGGGGGGGGCAGCAGGGGGGGGGGGGTTGAATAGAACCATTGCGCATTAACGAACATGTCGTAAAAGCGACTGATGGGCAGCGTTTCCTTCAAAGTTGAAGAGCATCTGCCTAGGCCACAAGGAACAATAGTCTGGCTGACTGACTGGCTGACTGACTAGCTGACTGACTGACTAGCTGGCTGACTGACTAGCTGACTGAATGACTGATGATGATGACGATGATGTTGATAATCACGATTATGATGATGTTGATGATGATACCGATTATGATGATGTTGATGATGATCACGATGATGATGATGCTGATGATTATTATAATGTTGATGATGATTATGATGACGATGATGATGATTATGTTGATGATAATTATAATGTTGATGATGATTATGATGATGATTATGTTGATGATAATTATAATGTTGATGATGATGTCGATGACGATGATGTTGATGACAATGTTGATGATGATGATGTTGATGATGATGTTAATGACAATGATGTCGATGATGATGATAATGTTGATAATGATGTCGATGACGATGATGTTGATGATAATTATAATGTTGATGATGATGTTGGTGAAGATTATGTTGATGACGACGATGTTGATAACGATGATGTTCATGATGATGATAATGATGTTATAACGATAGTGTTGATGATGATGATGGTGTTGATAATGATGATGTTGATATTGATGATGATTATGATGTTGATGATGAAGATTACGATGATGATGACGATAACGTTGATGATGATGATGATGGCGATGATGATGATTATGATGTTTATAATGATGTTGATGATGATGATGATATTGTTGATGATAATAGCGATGATGATGGTCAATGACGTTGATGATGATAATGACGATAATATTGATGATGAAGATGACGATTATGATGACGATGATGTTGATAATGATGATGATAAGGATGATGTTGATAATGATGAAGATGTTGATGATGATGATTTCGATGATTATATATACCATGATGATGATGTTGATGATGACGATGATGATGACGTTCATGACGATATTTATGATGATGATCACCATGATGATGATGATGATGATGATGTTGATGATGATGATGACGATGATGATGTTCACAATAGGAGATCAGAAGTTAATCCAGTATCGGCACGTGCGATGAAATTAATCCTTAGCCGAACATTAAATCCAACCGACCGAATAAACCAAATAAAAGAAATCAAATCCTGTTGACACGAATAAATCAAATTTTTAAAAAGTCAAATCTAGTTGACACAAATAAATCAGATAAAAGAAATCAAATTGCGCATATTACTGATACAAACACATTTCAGACTTTGTCAAGGCCCTTGGAAGCAAGTGAACGGCGCGGAAGTTCAAACAGTTCATTACGGTCTACAGAGACTGTCGGAATGGGGTGTGACTAGAGGATTTGCTGGTACCCATCACTCAGGGAAAAGGGAAGATGTACATACAATCAGATTGTTACTGATGCCATCGGAAATTGAACTTTATGCTGGCTGCGAAGATTGGTATGACGCGGTTATGGGAATGTTTGAGGTTTAAAGGTTTTGAACAACAGATCAACATTATGGCACACGGGTAGTAGCACATAAGTGCTCCGTTTTTCTAACTCAAGTCTGAGTCCGAAGAAGCTCAGCACAGTGCACAGGTTCTGTAGCACCGGCGAGGATCCTGAATTACTTTGAGTAGATTTGTAACTCAAAATTTTGTACGGTGAGCGCCGTTAGGC